AAACTGGTTTATGTGTTTAATTCCCTTATTTTTCTCCAAGATACAGAGTCATACGCTTGGAAAAAGATGCCTGCTCTCCCATCCACATACAGGGTATAAATGTAGGATGAACAGTGACCCTGGGAACAGGATAGATGGAGGCCCTGGGTGTATAAGGGATTAGAACTGTGGCATAAAGATGTGTCCTCAGGTCTAGGAATAATGTGAATGGCTGTGCTTTGAGAAAGGAACCTGTGTGCTGCTGGCTGGGCACAGGTGGAGGGCCATCTGTTTGTAGATTGTGCATAGGTGCAGGTGTCCTCAGGCTGCTCATTGAAGGCCTTTTGATCTTGCCCAGACGTGCTGACTGGGTACTCTTCCTTCTTGCTGGTAGGGAAGTGCAGTGTTGCTCTGTGATAGCACTGACATCTAATTGTTAATAAAGACAGGAGCTGATGATTAATCTGGTGTAGAAACATATCTCTTTGTGTCCTTTGTTGTCTTTGAGGGAGACCAAGAGACTGTAAAGTATTGCTCTGTACAACTTGGGATGGGTGGTGTATAAGTTTCTGTTTTCTGGCTTTTGGGATCTTGATAAGTTGTGCAAACCAGACGTGCTCAGAGCTAAACACAATCCTCTTCCTCCTCTTTGGCAAAGGCAAGACACGTACAATGGCCTCCAACACTCCTGCAGCTGCGGGTTTTGGTTTTTATTCCATGTCTACAGGAGCATATTTGAAACTCCCGGTTACATTATTTTCCAGGGAACTACTGCCTTTGTGCTAGGGAAGCTGGAAGGGCTGAGGCTGCAGGAAAAAAAGGAGCACAGGTCTGATTCATGGAGTGATGGAGTCATGGCCTCTGCCATGCTTGTGAGTCCAAACATGGTGGCAAAGGTACTCCTCCTTCCTGCATCAACTGTGGCACTGGTTTGAGGTGATATTATTTTGTCTGTATTCCATAGAGAAGCCACCTGGTGCAATCAGTATCTGGTAGGCTTTAGGAGGATAGTTGTGATAGTCTGTCTGGAGTGTGGATGGTGGTGTTGAGAGCCAAATATGTTCTTGAAAGCTTCTGAGAAATGGACCCTCTGGATACACCCACGAGATACTCTTTTCTATGTCAATTCTTGCCCAGCTCTTTCCAACCTTCCTTCTTTCCAGAGCAATGAAGTACTTCAAGATTCAGTTACTTAACCTGATGTATTTGAAGCCTGATTTCAGACCATCTTGATTTTCTGTGGGGAATTTTAGATTCTTGGCATGTCTGTAAATCAGGCCATAGGTACTAAAAACTAGAGAAACTACAACGAGCATTGTTCTGGTCTTCTTTTAATGCAGAAGTAGCACTTAATTATAGTAAGATGTATTGTCCCTATTTGAAAGAAAATATGCTAGTTATACGTACAGGGTTGGACAGGGTTGATATGTGACTTCATTGCCATGACAGTAGTAAGTAAAAGAAAGCTTGGATTCCTTGGTTTCCAGATTCTTTGCCAGTCAAAAAGGCAAGTTCATTCTCTGGTTATCTTGAAACCCACCAGTAAATGAATAAAAATGAATAGAAGCCTCTGAAGGTCACCAAGGTCTCCTCGGGCACAAAGTGCAATGGCTGAATGAATCACACTAACAAAACCATCTCTTGTGATGTGGAAATGAGTTTCACGCCTTCCATCTCTTGTGGGCTTCGTGTACAAACAACTTTGTTTGTAAATGTCAAAGGGCAGGGGAAATCCATGAAGGGGGGGAAGGTATTTCCTGTTGGTGACAGGCTGTCCTGCTTGGGTTGTGGCAGAGATCACGCCTTTCTCTTTGACCTGACTTTTGAGGCTCTGATCCAAGAATGTGAGACTCTCTCCATTCCTTGTGTCATGTCTGGCTGTTGTATTCAGTGACACTTCCTTGAGAGCGAGGGGAACATATCCTTGTGAGCTGAGGTGTGAGACTTGTTGGCTGCCATCCCTCAGTGTGTCCTGACCTCTCCAGTATTTCTACCTTCAAATCAGTTAATCGGCCATCTCGTGCTCCTTCCCCAAATTACCAATTTCTGGTCAGTCAACCGCAGTGACCATTAGTTGATTAATTATTTTTTTCTGGGTTCTTCCCTCAGTGTTTCTGCACTCCCTAGGACGTTGCCATGAGCCTCAGCAAATGTGTTGGTAAATGACGCCCATCTCTTGCAGTAGAGTTGCAGGCCCTGGTCGTTTGCTTCTCTGTGGAGTGCTTGGAAGCCTTTTGCTGGAGGAGACTGTGTCTGCTGAGCACACCCTTTGGCTGTCTAGGAAGCAAAGAGATGCAGGTTGTAGCTCATCCTAACCTCTTCTCTTACTGTGGTTTTGCAGATTTCTATGACAGTGTTTGTGGCTTGGGTGACATCCAAAGGAAAAGCTTTCCTATTCTGCTACCAATCTCTTTTTCTGCTGGTTGTGTTTTCCACCCGTTTCCATTCTGAGGCTTCTGATCTTTAACAGGTATCTTCTTTTCTTCTCCTTTCCCCATGTTTTTTTTTTCCCTCTTCTTCAATTGCAACAATTCAGGTATCAGACAGTGGTGATGCTTTGTTAAAGGATTTGGTTTTGTTCCCCTCCTGGAACAGCAGTCAGAAATCTGCATGATGCAGACCTTGGTGCCATGTCATATGATTGAAGAAAAATGGTGCTACGAAGATCAGAGCAATGTTAGAGCAAATTGGAGCCAGCAAGCTGGGACCACTTCACATGCCTGACTGCACAATGCTGAGCAGAGCTGCAAACATCAGGACTCTTCCAGGAAATTCAGGGTGGGTGGTAGGCTGTGACAGCTGAGCTCCACGTTTGTCATGCCCTGAGAAGTCCTTGCTCGTTTGAGGATTAAACTATAGCTACTTCCCCGACACAGAACTGCTGCCAAGATTCCAGTCTGGCTCAAGCCACTCTCCACACTTCATAATGAAGTTTGAGAGAGCTTTAACATCTTGGTGTTGGCAGAAACATGGTTTTAAAATCACAGTGTGGTTGGAGCCTAGCTGGCTCTGGACACTGGTAACAGGGCTGGAGACTTTCATCTCAAGGTCAAATCCAGCTGTGGTGTTAGTGACAAAGTCATGAACTTCAGACTGATGGTTTGGGGCTTACGTGTGGAAAGATGTCTTGAGTCCAATGCCAGGACCAGGAGTTGGGAGACTTGGATTCAGTTCCTGAACTTTGCCAGAGCTGTTCTGAGCGACCCTCAGCAAGACACTCGAAGTCTTCGTGCCTTAGGTCTCGGGGTGAAAAAGCACTGAAGGTCTGTCTACATCAACGTGGTGCCAAGTCCTCACGCTCACTTGTGACTGCAAACTCCTGAATATCTTTGGAGGCAGAAGTGCAAGGAACTAGGTGGGATGAGCTGGCTCTGTCCAGCCCGCATTAGACAAGTGCCTGGATCGCAGTTGTCAGTACTAGCAGTAACTGGCTGTGCTTTTTGGCAGCTTGGAGGGTGAGGATGTAATGTTCTCAGGAGGCAGCGCTGCTCTCCCATCGCTGGGCGATGCTGTTCCAAGTGCAGGCAGCCACGTGCTCAGGAGGAAGCTTATGCAGCCCTCCTCTCCGGTGGCTATAGGGGAGGTTGGTTTCTGTGTTTGGCAGCTGGCACAAATAATCAGCAACAGCTCACTGAGAAATTAGTTTCCCAAAAACTGCGTTAACCACAGCTGAGCTGCTGCCTTCTTTCCAAGGCGTACATGGGCAGCCTCTCCTGGCAAGTCTTTGTTACTGCTCTTCGGAATAACTGTACCAATGTCACAGCGGTGCCAGCCTGGATGTACACCTCTGCCTGCTGCCCCTTGGAGGGGTTTGGATGAGATTTATTCAATTTTTAGCTCCCTTCTGGCCTTGTGCCTGGCCTTGTGCTGGGCAGTGCTGCCAGCGGAGCGGGCTGGGGCAGCGCTCCGTCTCCTGGTGGCTCTCGGCACTGCGGGAGGAGGCTCTTCCCTGGAGGAGACACGGGTGCTCCAGGCTTGTGTCTGCCTGGCCTTGGGAGAGCAGCACAAAGCTTCAGCCTGCAACACTGTAATCCCAAAGCTTCAGCCTCTCCCCGTGCCTGCCAAATTCCTTTGGCTGTTAAATAAGGGTAGGAATTTTGAGGGGAGCTTGTAGAGTACGACTTCTGTGTTTGCTTTTAGCTTCATGAATAGCAGCAGTGACTTGTCTGGCTGTATTGTGGGAAAATTCTGATTTGCCAGCTTGGAAGAGCTGCTGTTTTAAAGGGAAAAACTGGCATTTATGCAACTGTTTTGCGTTGACTTCAGAATCATTGGTGCCTTGCATGGGTCTGCGTGCGTCTGCAGGTAGCCCTTAAGTTTCCAGTGGGGTATGGCAGAGCTTGTGCTTGAACTGGGACCCTGGGGGTGCTGGGTGCTGTACACAGAACTAACAACATGTCCTACAGAGCATCTGCTGTGGTGAGGAAGAGTGTGGTGAGGAAAACTGAGGCACAGATCAGCTAGCTGGAAAAGACTCCATGCAGATCACTGCTGTAATGTTGTAGCATGATGACCTTCGTCATGCTGATGTGTTGATACACCCCAGTTCTGTGTGGTGTGGGTGGAAGAAGAGATGACACTTGATAGACTTATGCAATTCTTGTTAAAGTAATGTTTTGGAAACACTATCACTATTGAGTGAGGAAAGGCTAATGCCATCCTTTGTCTGACATTGGAGAAATCCACATGGAGGTAGTGAGGGCAACAAGAGTCATCAATCTGCTACTTGCAATGAATTTGTAGTAATGATACCCCCACAAAGGATACTGGTGTTTTTTGGGGGAGTGGTGTGGGGAAAAGCCAGAAGAGTATGAGGACTTAAGGAGGAAAAATAAGGGCTGTCAAATACAGATTGACACTGTGGTAAACCCTTGCTCTGTTGTTTTGTGTCTCCTTTTTCTGCAGCTGGGGGTGGCTGGGTGCTCTGGGGGTATATCCAGGCAGGAAGACGTGCTATGAATTAGTAGCAACACCACCCTTGAGTAGGTAAGTGCATTTTGCTGACTTCTTGTTTGTGTTAGTTACAGGACTCTCATCAGGCCCACGTACAAAATGTCGTACCGAACTGTGACCACGCTGGAGTGGAGGTGCTGTCCTGGCTTCACGGGGAGCAACTGTGAGGAGGGTAAGTTATCCAGCAATACACCTGCCCTTACACAGCAGCAAGGGGATGTGCAGATGGTCTGGCTGGGTTGAGTTGGGTTTTACTCCTTAATTTGCTTTACACCTCTCAAACGCAGGCACAAATCACCTTATCTCTACACTCCGGTCATTATTTGACTGCTCACACACAAGCTCTGTCAGGTGGTCTTGGAAAACAGAGCAGGCTGAATGCCTGCAAAGAAGCCTGAACAAAGAGGGGGAAAGAAATGAGGAAATGGTTACTCAGGAATCACCTGTTTATGGATGTGCTCATGCTTGGCATCCTCATTACACAGTCCTTCAGAAAATGCACTTTCTCTTTGTCACTGCATTATCCTCCATATCCCCCTGTCATCACCATCAGCTGCTGTAGCTGATGAAAGCTGGTCCCTGGATGGCTGCTTGTAAGAGTTATGCCTGTAAGGTCTGGATGCAAATAATATCTGTGTTTCCAGAGAGCTTTGAATTAAATTGGGCACCTCTGACTTCCCTTCCCACCCCCTGACCTATTGGTGCAACATTCAGGTTGCACAGTGTGTGTGAAAACACAGTTCTGGATTTGGCATCTGATCTTTCACGGAGAAAAACACAGGGCTCTTTCCAGAACTGGAAGAAAGAAAAGTCTTTTCCTTTTCTCATCATGATGGACAAAAAGGATGCCTCTTGCACTTTCCTTTCTGATGTTTTCTGCTTCAACTGTTGCTTCTAGGGCTTTGAAACTGCTCCTTCTCTATTGAGGTTTCAGGTTTAGGTGTGAAAGCATCTGCTGAATCTGTGTCATGAGTGTTCATAGTTTATGAATGGGAGAGGAACTAAGCCTTGAGTTTTCTGTTCATTTGCATCAGGTCACACAGCCTGCCCCTGCTGGGGGGTGAAGAGTCATTGCGGGGGGTGACCAGGGTGTCCAACATCTCTAAAACTCTGCTGTTTCGAGCTTCACCTTGTTTTCTTTGTGCTGCAAGCTCTTGGTGCTAATCACACAATTCATGAAAATCTCTAACTAGGAAGTTGTCTCGTTACAGTCACAAAGAATGATGGTTGCAGACAGCAGCTGGCTTCAGGCTCCTGAGGAAACAATAGTTTCCCAGAAGCTCAAGAAAAGTCTTAAAAAGTGGCAAAGTCACCCTAAATTGCAGTCTGCAGGACAGCGCTTTGCATTTTAGCAGGCTGCTAAGAGAAGTGAACCTGGGAAAGAAAAGCTGCTGAGCACAGCTCAGATTTTTACGTGTCACTGCAGGGGAGAGGGATGCAAAGACTGTGGCAAACCTGTTATTCCTCAGCCTGGCCGAGGATCTGACCAGGGACCCGAGAAGCCGGTGTGTGCAGCCCGTTCCTGCCTGTAGGTTTGGACAGGTGTGAATAATTACAGCTTAGTGGTGCTGCTGGTGTAAAGGAGAGAATCCAGCTCCCTCCCGCGGTGCCAGATCTGTCTCAGCAGAGTTCAGTGGAAATAAAAAGCCAACATAAGCTTGTTTGAGAAAGTCAGCAGCGATCTCACAGGAGCAGGTCTGTGGAACGAGGTGACAATTTTATGCAGTCAGTTTTCAAGGTGGAACTGTTCTTTTGGGCTTGGATATGGTCTGTGGAGTGTGAGCAGAAAGCCAGTAGCAAGCCCTCGCTTTCATGTGTGAGATTCTTTTTACCTTTTTTTTTTTTCCTCCCTAAAACATCTGGCACTACTGATAGTCCCATATTCTTGAAAGAAAGAGGAAAATAAATAAAAAAAGACCCCTCTCTAGTAGAGCAGGGTTGTGCCACTGAATTTCTAGCAGTAGTATTGACGCTAGTGGGGTGTGGGGCACCTCAAGCTGTCCAGAGGCATCAATTTTAAAATTGAAGTACTTACTTGCTCCTTATATTGATCCTTAATGTTAGTGTCACTTGGAATTCTAAGAGGCTGAGAAGAGTTCTTTAGGCCTTTTTGGCAACCTGATATACAGCCTTTTGTACTATGTCCTTTCTGCACCCTCTCCTACTACAAATACAGTTCCTCTGAGAGGGTAGGATGCTTACATTTGTGTGGGTCCTTTCTGGAAACAGCAGACAAAAGGAAACAGAAAACTAAACTGAAACAAAACAAAACCAGCACAATTACAAAGCCACAGCAAATTAGCAGCGTAGAAACTCAAAATGCTTTCATCTATTTTTGGTTTTAGTTAGATTTCACCTCAATATTTCATTTCATTTGTATGTGCAGCTGGTGTTTTTGAAGTTGATGTGAGGTAGGTATGATTGAAGGCAGATTGGACCTGGACTATTTTTAACTTGCCTCCTTGCTGTGTTGCAAAGGCTCCAATTCTCTGACAGTCACTATTGTTCTCCACTGTCAGCAGAACGGCAACTACAGTGGCTCTGAGCTTCTGCTTCAAGGTGTCTCCTCTTTCAAGAGACTGAAGGAAAAAGCTTTTCTTTTTTCTTTCCTGATGGGCCTTGGAATAGTGAGGTCGCATTTTCATGAGTAGCACAGACTAAGCCAGGAGATAATGATGGATTGATCAAGCACTTTGGAGAATTGTGTGATGGGTACAGCTGTGGGGTCCCTTCTTCAGACTGGTGGTGGTGGTTGCATCTTCAGACTTGAGAGATCCTATCTATTAATTGCTGCTTTAATCCCCAGGGAGAAGGGCTGATATTTGTTCCTTTTTTTGTGCTGTTCTGGAACAGTGTCTTTGGGGGAGCCAGTGTAGCTGGTGGAGGTTTTTCACTAACTGTCCTTTTATGAGGTTTTCCTGGCCCTTTTTAAATTTGTTTTATTTCTTTTAGCATTTTATGGGGGAAGATAAGATGGTGGGAGGGTGAACCAAGTAAAGCAAGTCAAAGAACTTGCAATCATTCAATGGCTGCAGCGCATCTATTTCTGACATACTTCTGTGTTATCTCCCAAATGGCAGGTCAGCTTTTCTTTTGTACAGAAAATCACCCAGCACGGATGTCTAGCCCCAAAGCATGGCAAACTCTGGTGAGACTGGTTTGCTGTAACACACCTTCAATGAGAAAACTCCCCTTTGGCAGTAATGTACTGCACACTGATAGAGCAAGCTGTTAAATGCAATTCGAGTCTTACAAAATGTCTTGACCCTTACCTAATAAGTTTAGCTTGAGAAAGTAACCACTTAACTGTCACCAGCTGGCAGGCACCTCCATCAATGCTGAAGGCTGCACATTGTTTAGATTTAAATTATCTTGGGAATTTAACTCGTGCATTGTAGCTGATAAAGAGCAGCATCGTCTGGAGGACGCCTAGCTCTAAAAGTAGGTGGAGATTTTTGCTACTCAGCGGGCTATTAATTTACTGAGCAGGGGATGGCTGCTTCCAATCTATTTCCTTTTTTAAGTTGACACTGCTTGGGGCTCTCCCCTCTTCCCTTCATTGCTTTCCCCTCACCCAAAGGTATGTCAATATTTGAAAGGTCTCCAATTCTGTTTTTTTCGTTTTGTTTTGTTAGAACTGTGACCAGCTAATTGACTAGATAGTTAAAAATCACCAGTTGTACCAGGGTTCCCGAAGGGTTTCTTCAAGCTTTCTTGGATGGAGAAAGAGACTTGATGCAAACAAGTCTGGCAAATTTAACTGTCAGTAGATGCTAATTTTTATTTTTCAGTTTCAGGATTTTTTTGTTTTGTTTAAACTAGAGCCCAAGCCTAGGACAGGAAATGAATCCACTGAGCCACCCAGTCTGCTGACTGCTGATATAAAGAACATATGGACGAGGGCAGTGCAGAGGTGAAGTGGTTTAGCTATTGCAATCATGCATCAAGCTGATTGATTTGAATCCAAGATGATGCTGACATTTCAACTCAGCTTTTTTTTCCTATATGGCTGAAAGTTCAAAGCCAAGTGCGATCTCTTGGGAGAGGAAAAGTGTCCCCAGCAAGTTCAGGGGCTCAGCACTGCCCTGGAACTCTCCAGCTAGGCAAGGTCTTATTTCACTTTACAAATCTCACATAGATTTCTTTCTTGTTTGTTTGTATTGCTTGGATTTGGGACAGTAGCCAGTATTGTATTTACCCCAGAAGCAGATTGATGTTAGACAGCTTAGCTGTTTGGGCAAGAAGCAGCTCCAAGAGTAACCTCGGCACCTCTAAAGTGATACCGTTGTGATTCCAGGCTTACTTTTTTTTTTTATTCCATAAGAATACAAGTAGGATAGGAAATTTGAGCAGCCTTGTTCAAGTAATGGCTTAATTTGAGAACTTCCTTTTTTTTTTTTTCCACTCCTCATTTCAGTTCTCAGAATATTTTTATCTACTTCTAATAACTATTGTTTGCATCTTGTAATCCTGATATTTTTCAAATCTCTTAGATTTCCATGTGTTTCAAGGCAGCATAAGAAAATAAGGGCTTTTCTTCATATGATAGCTCACACTGGTTTGCAAAACTTCTTTGTCCCAGGATGAGAGATGCAGAGCAACACTGCTGGGGAAGTCTTAAACCAGCAAATGCAATCATGAGATGGTATTTGATGAGGCCGTGAGAATGAACATCAAAACTAGAGACCTGAAATTTTGAAAGCTCATTGAAGTGCTCTAGAAGGAGGGGTGTTCAAAGTGGTGTCCTTATGTCTCCAGGACTTGGTTTGCTCCTCTGTGAACTGTAAAACAGAACTGTCAATCTATGGGAAAACACAGTGTGAAGATTATGGAGTAACATTGCCCATAATATCACGTAGTTCTCTTCAGGAGCTGAGCTTTTGTGAGTGTTTTCCCTTTTGTCAAGTAATTCAATTCCTCATGTCCCTTCCTCTTCCTTGTAGCCACTGTTTGGAAGCAGGGGAGCTAAGTCTGTGTCTCACATACAGCAAGAAGCAGAGCTCTTTGCTGCTGCTGAGCATTTTTCATCTTGCCCTTAGAAACTGAGAAAACACATGAGAAGGCAGTGGGGGGTCAGAGAGGCATTGCACTGTCTGTTCCTGTTGCTGCTAAATCCTGGTACAGTGATGTTTTCCCACTTAAGGGCCTGACTCTTACCACAATCAAAGCAAA